ATACAAATATTATTGCTATACAGTACCTAATACCTATTAACGACGATATTTGACATAGGGGCCGTCATTCCGAGAAAAGTAAAAGTAATAATAACAAATCATAATAATTCTATTTCCTAGTACTTCCGACGTTTAATTGTAGATACGAGAATAGGACCATAACTGAACCGATGTAATTTCCAAAATTAAAGGACCGACGAAGACTGGACCGTGTGTTCTTTTAAATAAAAAGACCGGCAAATACTGGACCATGTATTCTATTAAATAAGTAGACCAAAAAAGACTGGACCATTCATTATTTTTAAATAAAAAGACCGACTAAAACCGGACCACGGTCCAGTCTGGTCCAGACCGGACCATGCAGAGCTCTGCCACTACCAACGCTGTGGTATTTTGATCTGCTATCGTTTACCATGGTGTATGAAACTGGAAGAGAAGGTATATCCAGTACTGACGACAGTGTCGCATTTTCAGTAAGTACCTACTAATAATTAAATATTATTACCTACTAATAATTAAATATTATAATAACATTTTTTTATAGACGTTTGAAGTTGAAATTTTGACGAAATTTAAAATTATAAACCAATAATAATAATAATAATAGTTTATTTCGTCATAAAAGATTAACACATAGATTAACCAAGGATTAAGTATGTTTAAATATTTTTATTTTTTTTATTAATCTTAGAGTAAAATCGCCCATTACAAATATTTTGTAGTATAATTTTTTTGGAGGGTAGGTACCAATGCCATGTAAATTTGTCTAAATATTTTCAACAAATTTGAAAACATTTTTTTTTATTTCAGAGTCGAATACAAGTTAAATAATAATAAAATATAAAACCAATGTCATAGGTACCCTTTATAGTTTTTCTAACACATAGGTGATTTTAATCAAAAATTATAAAATACGATTTTAGATGATAGAGATTTATCTATGCGACCATGCTGATTGTGGGTTTGAGAGAAAAAAGGTGCTGTACAGTAGGTTACAAGTGGGTCATTGTATAATGGATGGTATTCAATTTGAATTTAATGATGTAATATCATCGTATAAGAAAAACGATTCTGAGCGGAGACGGTATGTCAGTCTAGGTATAAGACATATTATAGGTAAACATATCTATAGTATTAACAAAAAATTTACCTGTACCTATAATAAATTCCAAATTCATCATATCACAATATCCAATTAGGTACTTATAGCGCGTTATACATCATAGATATACATATAGGTAGGTATAGTAGTATACTTTAGAAGTTTCAAGTAACCACGAATAATATTATACAATCAAAAAAAAATAACTAGGTTTTAGATTCTGAGTGAAACGATGAATGTATTGATTTTACAATGATGTGTGTTTTTTTTTTAGATTCTGAGCGGAGCGATGAATGTATTTATTATTGTGTCTGTGTACACGATTAGTAGTCGAAATAATGCTTCGATTTTCGACTTCAGTATCTTGTTCGATGGGAAAATGAATCTAGTTGGTACTTTTGGGAGGTCAAAATTTAAAATTAACAATTGTTTACAAAAGCGCCGGGAAAAACAACATAAAAATTAAGGAAAAACGGAAATTTTTACGCAAAATCGGTTTTCCAAAAACTCGATTTTGGTTTTTGGTGTAACTCTAAAACAAATGAACGTATAAATATGAAATTTTCACTGGTTGTTTATATTTGAATTTTCTATAGACGATAACATTTTCAAAATATTTTGATTTATTTTGAACTGTTTAGCGACATTTTCATTTTCCATATTTTTTTAGTTTTTTTCTGAAAATATCAATAAAATTTTATTTGTTAGATAAAAAATCTTGAAAATTTAATAGAAGGCTCCTAGTATATTGTTTCAAATGCAGATGAAAAATATTAAAAATCCTTAGTCATAGTTTTTTTTTTATAAGCATTTAAAGTTCAAAATTTGACAAAATATGGAAAAATCACGAAAATTAGCAAATTATTTTGAGTTAAGAATTCGTAAAAATTTTTCTTTTTAAATCTAAGGTTTTAAAATGTAATACAAGATTCCTTATAAGATTATCAGCCTTTATCAAAAAAAAATTTCTATAAGAAATTCAAATAAAATTTTTATGAGCGTTTGAATTTCAAATTCTTACAACATTGGATATTCACTCGATTTCTCATGTAGCGATTTTCTTATTTTGTTGTAATTTAAAAACCAATAACTGTAGGTACATGAAAATTTCACTAAATGTGTATTTTATCAATTCTTATACTTGAGCTGTTTACGGACAATTTCATATTTCTATTTTTTTATTTTTTTTTTCTATGAATATCAATAAAGTTTTATCTGTTGGGCCAAAAAGTGTAAAAATGTAATACAAGTCTCCTCATATGTTGTTACCATAGACCTATTAACTATGGACAGCGCTTAGAGAGAGAAGTCAGGAAACGATATAGTATAGTGAGAAAAGAAATAAAGTAGTGTTTTGCAGTGTGCCTACTGCCAAATAAAAAATTGTGATACAATAAAATCTTGCCGATCGTTATATTTCATTGATAACGTGATAAATATTGTGATTACTGATAGATGATAAAGGCATAAACCTATGGATAAAGAAAATGGAAAAAAAAAAGTTTAGTATTTCCTCCATGGTTCACTGCTTTATGCTCTTTCTCCTCAGTTATATGATCATCTAGAATTGTGGGCAGTGCGGGTAGGAATGCGCTGTCCATAGTTAATAGGTCTATGGTTGTTACAATAGCAGTTGAAAAATATTAAAAATACATAGGCACACTTTTTTTTTTTATAAGCATTTAAAGATCAAATTTTGACAAAATTTATCAAATTTAAAATTGAATAATTATTTTGTAGTTAAAAATGTATAAAATGTTCAACTTTTATATCTAAGGATTTGAAATTTAAAACAAGATTCCACGTAAATAGTTAATTCTGTTACTAAAAACAGTTTTGTTTTATAGTCATTTTAAGTTCAAATTTGGACGAAATTACATAACAAAAACCTAGAATAACTATTTTAATTATTTTTTTGTGATTGTATAATATTATTCGTGGGTACTTGAAACTTCTAAAGTACACTATTATATATCTATGATAGTAGGGTTTGTTGTTGATGACGTTGATGGTTAACGCGTTATAAGTAGGTACCTAATGGGTATTGTGATATGATTCATTTGGAATTTATTATAGGTTAATTTAATACCATCCATTAAACAGTGACCCACTTGTAACCACCTAACCTAACCTTACCACTTGTTTACACCGTTTCCAAATGATAGAATGTTTTGTTAATTTTATTCTCAGGATACGACTGAAACTGATCTTATTGATGAGAATATACCACCTGAGTCTGATGATACGCAAAGTGTTGCACAACAGGTTCTTAGCCCCAGCCCCAGCCCTCGTCTTCATAAAAAACAGAAAAGTTTCATTACAAAGAAAAGGGAGTTCATAGACATTGCAAGTGAAACCATGAAGGCTTTGAATAATCCAATTAAAGAAGATGATGAATATGATGTTATTGGTAAAAGATTTGCAATGCAGTTGAGAGGTATGAAAGATCATCAAATGTTTTCGGCAGAAAAAATAATAGGTGATGTTATGTATTATGGTAGAATGGAGAAACTCACTGAGAACTGTTTTCAATTTAATAATACTAATATTTCAACCACTGAGCCACAAATAAACACAAACTCTATGTATGTACCAGCTTAAAATAGTATTATACGACCTACATTTCACTCTCATCAAAATTCTCAAAAATTAACACCACCACAGGAAAATATATACAATCAACAACGTAAACATAATATGTTAGAAAATACTTATCAAGTACAAAGCCCATATCTTCATCACGATACTTCTCAACCCAAACAAAATGCAGGCCTTAAGCTTAACATTCAACAATATACATACGGATTAGATAGTATCCCGCCAATCACCCAACATAAAAATCGCGTTAATTGGAATGTGAATACTGCAAGTTCCATTGATAATCCTGAAGCTGGTGCACAAGTTGACACGAGTATTTAATACATTTTAATTACTACAACTTAATCGTAAGTACAAAATATAGGTTGTTTATATCATTTTTTGCTTAGAATAAATCAGTTATTTTTTATTTCATGACATATAATTTATAACCAAGGGAAATTATTATTATTTTGTTACATTAAATATTTTTTTTTCCTATTGAATATATCTACTGATAATTTAATTTTAAAGGAAATACACATTATATCTTATAATTTATAATTTATCTGTGATGTATCATCTTTTCTTGAAAAGACACTTTTCCTTCGTTGTTAAAATATTCTTTGTACTTATCTCTTACAAGTTTGGCGTTTTGAGGTGTATAACTTGAAGACTGTTGTAAAGGAACCATCTCACCAATCTGACGCCATTGCCCTTGAATTATATTACCTGATTCTGTGTCTTCTGAATCAATGTGATTTGCTGAGGTATAAAATGTACTAGATTTTGTACGTAAAAAATTATGTAGAACACAGCTTGCCATTACAACTGCATCAACGTTTTCAACACTAACGTTTAATGGTTGTAAGAAGACTCGAAATCGTGTAGCCAAAATACCAAAAGCGTTTTCAACAACCCGTCGCGCTCTAGAAAATCTGTAATTAAATATGTGCTCATCAAGGCCTGAGTTATGTTTTCCGTACGGTTTCATTAAATTTTCCATGAGAGGAAATGCTGCGTCACCAATGAAAACAAATGGTAGCTTATATTCGACTTGAGGTAGACTTTGAGGGGGAGGTATTTTTAACTCGTTATTTTCTAATGAGCGGTATAGATCAGTTTCTTTCATAATCCCGGCATCGGAAACTCGTCCATTTGTACCACAATGTACATAAATAAATTCAAAATTTGCATTCACCACTGCAAAAAGTACTACGCTAAATGTTCCTTTATAATTAAAGTAATATGATCCACTATTTGGCGGTTTTGTGATCAATACGTGTTTTCCATCAATTGCTCCTAGGCAGTTATCGAAATCTCAAAGCGTCTTGAAATCCTTTGCAACTTGCTTCCATTCTGTTTCTGTGTTTGGCATCTTAAAAAATAAATAATTCTTTATTTATTTGACTATTTTTAGTAAACATGATACAAACTACAAAGTAAGTACCTATATTAAATAAACGTATTTACTACTGTCTACTAGGATCTACAGGGAATGGCCGTTTTTGAACCAAAAACGTACCCTTCCCTTTTCGGCCGATTCACTTTTCAACCAAATTTAAAAACAACAAGTTATATAATAGATATATATTGGTAAATAATTTTTACCAATTATTATTGAGCACAATAGTAATCTGTATAATACATAACAAAAATAAACTAATAGGTATATCTTTTTGGTAAAATAATAATTAGTAATTAATATTATATAGTTTTACTTATAGAAAATTATTTAAAATATAAGATAACCTATATATTAACATTATTTTTATGTTAATATGTCACAAATCTACTCATATAGTTTAAATTGATTTATAAATTATAAAAAAATAAATTTCTATATACCTAGAATGATATAAACATTTTTAAAAACTATAATTTCCATAATTTTACATAAATTACATTATTGCATTATATATTATATATAACTTTTTGTTTTGGACGAAAATTGAATCGGACGAAAAGGGAAGGGAAAACTAAATTAAAGTAAACTAATTTTGTACAAAACCTTGCAGTAATGTTCAAAGTTATTTACAAACAAAACATTTTTTAATGAAAAAAAATTTAAAAAAATGGGAATTTCTTAAATAAATTATTGTAAAATTTCAAGTATCTAAAACATTTTTTTTATAGAAAAGAAAAATTGCGTTTTGCCTTCCTACTTTCTACTAGGATATAGTTTAACTTTATAGTAAGTACTTATATAATTTTTTTTTTTTAATATTATGATATATTATAAGGTTATATAATATTAATATATATTACTAGGTATGCAAGTTTTTACTAACCTTTAAATATTTTTGTCTTAATACTTCATATATTGCCCAACATGTCTCAGGAATGATTTTCCCCAGAGCTTGAGCAGATATCGCACATGAAAACTTCAGGTCTTCGTAGCTCCTACCAGTTGCCAAAAATCGTAATGTTGCTACCAAACGCTCCTCCGCAGAAATACTTTCACGCATTATTGTATTTTGCTTTTCTATTAATGGTCTAACTAAATCCAACAACTCATAAAATGTATGATTTTCCATACGTAAATAATTTTTAAAATCTGCAGGTTCATTTGACTGCAGCTCGTGTAACAAATTCATATGTGAATGCTTTCTCCTCTCCAATAACCACTGCTTTGACAATTTCCTTTTTTTAATTTGTTCGTCTTCGGCCCGGTTTTTCATTCATCCAGTTATTCGCCAGATATAATCTTTCAAATAAAGTGATTCCGGTTTTTCAATGTAATTTTATTCTCCAGATAGCTATCTGACAGATAAAGTTGTCGGTAGAAAAATTGTACTAACAGAAGGTAGTTACTTTTGATTATGGAACAAGTTACACATACCTATTTGATTATGATTGGTCAATGATGGAATTGATAAGAAATCGTTCTGTGGTATCAGCAGAAATCATAAACACTTTGTATATTATGATCAAGGTAATTATAATTACGATCTAACAATTATGATCTATAACTGCGATATTTATGTGTTGCGTGTTGACTGTTCAACTGTTGACTCTCTCTATATTCTCTATTAAACATGTCTCATAAAACCATATCGAAAAAACAAAGATCAACCAATTTCACATTTTATGAAAAAGAACTTTTATTGAAATATGCATTACAAAATCGGCACCTATTAGAAAATAAAGAGTCAAATGCAGTGACATGGAAGGACAAACAGAAATGTTGGCTGAAAATTACTGAACTATATAATTCAGGAACAACAGGCTGTGTAAGAATAATTGTATTATTATTTTTTGTATGCATAAAATAGTATTGTTTTATTTGTTATAACCAAGAGATGCTTCGTGTTTGCGATCAAAATATGAATGTGTCAAAAAACTTTTAAGGGGAACTAAAAGGGATCTATTCAAAACAGGGGGTGGTCCCTTTAAAGAACCTCATATAGTTTCAAGTAATTCCCGTTTGAGGTTAGTTCCCGTTTGGAGAAACAGAATTCGCCAATCATCTTGGAAACAGATTGAGATCTTCCAGTCCGTAGCACTACGTACCATGACCGGCGCCCACTACCTGGTCTCAAATCTAAACTTACGGAACTCAATGTCCATCGACACCCTCCAAGACGAAGCACTCCACCTATCAAAAAACCTTGCTCATACACTTTCAAGGAGCAAATATCCACACTTATCATGTCTAGTCCCATGAACAGACCAAAACCTATCAATTAAATTACCTCATTCAGAGAGAAAAGGCATAGCCTGGTGCTCTTAAACAGGCCAAAGGCCGTCCCACCAAAGCAAATTGCAAAGTGATTCAGAAAAAACCTTGTATACAATTTTACAACTAACAATTGAAGGACTACCTAGTCCACTTGATAGTGACCATCGTAAGTAGTATAGCATAAATAGTTCACTAAATAGATCACCTAATAGTTTGTGAAGCTATTTCGTCTTCAATATATTCTAATAAATTACGAACTATGTTTTTCCCAAGTCTGAATCTCACCCTAAAATCATGGTCATCCCACGCCAGCATATGATTTATTCTTTCATGTACAGTGTATAGACGACGTTGATAATTCAAATATTGAATTATTTCAAAATCATCATCCTCTTCAAATAAATCCATTTAAATAAAATCGAATGCAGACGAAAATTGTGAAATTGACAACAACACAACGTATTTCATATTTAAATTTTAAAGTAATATGATAAATTATGATAACACACCATATTTATGTTATCAGTTGTTAATTATCCGTCGGATAACCGTCGGATATATTTGATACAAAAAGTAACGGATAACTTATCCGCAACAATATCCATCGGATAAGGCTTATCCCGACATTGAAAAACTGAAATTTATCAATTATTTCTTATCTGTTAGATAACTCGAGTTATCTGACGGATAAATGTGATTGAAAAACCGGGCCTTCATCGTCCACAGCCAAAACAAGAGCAGCTATAACTAAAGATTTTCTTTTCCTTTCTAATAAGTTGGACATTGCGTAAATATTAGGAAATTTTGAAAAATATAAAATGTATAAACAGAAAACAGAACAGTACTTCGCACTTCGTGAGTAACTTAGTAACTGAACTACTGTTCATCGCGGGAATAGTTGATAGACAAATCGATTCGTGTATGGAGTAGGCGATGTTTGACAACAAATCGACCGATCGGTTTGATGATAAGTCTGTCGATAGTCGTTCCGTGTATGGGACCCTTTACGGAGACAATTTGATCCGCTTTTAACAATTTATTTTTCAAGAAAACGGATCAATATGTCCAGATACCGTGTCTGGACAGTAGGGGTGGTAACGGTTTTCGAAGTGAGTGAAACCGAGATCTTTGATGTCACAGAGGCCAGAGATTGGTGGTCTGTTGAAAGGCCAGAGTCGGAAATTTGATAGTATTTGATGGTATTGGAGAAGGGGAAGCTGCACTTTGCTTTGCAATTTTCGGAGGTAGGTTGGTAGAAGGGTTCCAACTAGGGATGGGTCGTTCGCGATCGATTCGTTCAATTTGAACGAATCAGTTCAGTGAACGAATTGATTCAGATTCGGAAAGTTAGAACGATTCGTTCACAAAATTAATTTCGTTCGTAACTTCACTTGAATCGGGATCGGTTACGAATCATCAATATTCTAATATTATTACCAATGAATATGAATATATGATTCGTTATTTCGTTCACTGATTCAAGCAGTCTAGTTCAGTCTCAAAGCAGCCGGCTGCACTGTTGCAGCTGTTCCCCGGCCAATCCATTATACAATTACCTACCTTGTGGTACCCACTATCAGTTAATATGACTGTGATGATAACTGATAAAATTTGGATATACTCTTTTCAGAATAAGAAGGAACCAGGCGGTCACGGACAAAACCGGTTTTTTTACTTAAATCTGGTGCGTTCTTATTCTGAAAAGAGTATAGTACTATCCTAAATCATAATATTAAATATAGTAATAATATGGATAGGGCCATTAATTGCCAAACAATGTTCAACAATATTAACATGCATCTCAGATTCTCAGACCACGCCACCACGGTGATTATTTTACTTATAAGAATTGTGTGCTTGTGACTAGTGTTTTGTATTTGTTACTGTGTTTGTAAAAATTATCTGCGTTAAATCTGTGGAGTAAATTTTATTAATTATAAGGTAAGATATGTACTGAATTTTTTAATTGCACAATGTTATCTTTATGTTAGGTATTTTATGAAAAGAATATAATATTAAACAAATTGTCATAACAAAATAAAACTAAAAATGTAACTGTTTATTACATACTAAACAAAACAAATATGCGTATGCAATACTATGCATATAATATAAATACATTATCTTGTATTATATTATTCTTTTTTATACATTTTAATTATTTACTTACTTTAATATAGCATACTATATTTACATGTTTGATTGTATAAAAATAATTTTTTCTACTTTTTCAGTTGTCAGTCTGGTTCTTTTGCTATTAAGAATCATACCAGCTTTTGAAAAAACTCGTTCACTAGAAACTGATGTTGCTGGTACACAAAGTCGTCTTTTAACCATTTCAAACAATCTGGGGTATAAAAGCTTTCTCTCAGACCACCACTTCAAAGGATGCAGTTGACGATTTAAGAGATTTTCACTCAAATATTTGTCCAACTCTACAATGCTTGCCACAGATGGATTATTTTGACCAAGAACCGAACTGACTTGTTCATCAAACTGTTTCCAAATACTTGTCGAATTTGTACAGTAGAAGTAGTTGGAAGTTCTTCGATAGTTCGTTATGGCTAATGTTGACAACACGGGTTCTTTTAACTTGAGTATCCTTTCCATCATGTGATATGCTGAATTCCAACGTGTTTTGCACTCCTGAATCAGCTTAAGATCTGTTAATCCCATTTGTTTTTTTATGGTTCTGTAATTTATGCAGAGCTCCAGAACTTTGCTTGAAAAATTCAACTACATTTTTTATTTTAGTCATGACAGTTTTCAAATGTGTCAGACCATCTGAATGCCGATATTAAGGACATGAACAAAGCATGGGACATGTCTCCAATTATTTTTCTTTACAGCACCAACTATATTTGCAGTATTATCTGTGACAACTGCTGATATTTTATGTTCAATGTTCCATGCTTTAACAGTAGCCATCAAAAACTTGGCAAGTTCAACTGACGTACACTGCTCATTATAGTTGATACAACCAAATAGTATAGAACACAATTTAGTCTCGGAATTTAAAAAATGGACGGTTAAGGCTATATAATGTTGGTTGTTGATGGATGTCCAACCATCTGTGGTCAAAGATAAGGCAGTCACATCATGTAGGTCAGTTTTAACATTATCAAGAACACTTTCGTACATTTGTATTAGTAAACTGTTTGATATTGTTTTTCTAGAAGGTACAACGTAATTTGGTGCAAGCATCTTAATCAGATTACGGAATTCTGTTTCTTCTACCAATGAAAAAGGATGAAAATGTTTGACGATAAATTTAGTGATCTGTAAGTCTATAGCTTTTGATTTTGTGAGAGAAATTGGTTTACTTATATACTGTGTGATGGCACTTTGTTTAGGTAGATTTGATGCTGATGGCCCTGCTGCTTCAGAAACTACTCTCGACGAACCTGTACTTACAAAGGCACTTGTAGACGCTGGCACGTCGGGGTCCGATGGGTCATCAAAGTTGTCATCATTTACTAGCAGTGGTCTTTTAAGTGGCACAGTTACATGTTTAGTTTTTAGATGGCGCATAAGGTTACTCGTTGACCCACCACTATAACTAACACCTTCCTTACAATAAGAACATTAAGCAATAGTAAGGGACTCAATACTAAAATGATTCCATACTGCACTTCTCTTGCGGTTTAAATTTGGCATCTATAATTTTTTTATATTATATAATTTTGTTTTAATTTGTACACATTTTAAAAATTAACAAAATTTGTGAGTTATGACTTATAGTATCAAAATATATGTGTTTAAATTGTATGGAGTTTTTTAGTTATTACTACCTTTATAACAATTACTAGAATTATAAATTATTGAATGGCACTTCTAACTTAATTTAAATTATATGTACCTGTATAAATTATTAAAATAATTGTTTATTATTTTTTGATAAACATGTACATAAAAAATATTTAAAGATTTTAAATGATAAATTTGAAAATATGATATAAAAAACTTAAGTCACAAATCCAAACAATATGAAATTTTTAAAAATCTTACCTTGATGAATATAACTTTGAGTTAAAAATTATTAAAAACAGTAACACCAACGCCACAAGTTGTTGAAAAATATAAAAACGTTTTTTATTCAAATTTTTATGAGTTAAATGAAAAAATAACGCTTGATTAGTCTAATTCGTAGTAAAAAATAATTAGTAGGACTCTCCTGGAAGGCTGAAAAACCAATGCCAAGTTTGTTAATATAATATACCATATAATTGTTTTATAATTTATTACAATTGCCAAGTATAGACAAAAATAATCATGTCATGAACTGGTCTATCACAGGTTCAAACATGTTAATTTGTTGTAATAATTATGGAAAATTATTGTGTTTGGTGGGAAGAGGTTGCTGAGGCCTGAGAGTAAAGGACTAAAGGAAATGTCTTGTACCTTTTTGAGTATACATACATTTATGATTATTTATGGAACAATATAACAAATTAATTTTTCCAAAAACTCATTTTTTTTTTTTAATATATGAGTACATATAACCACTTATTAAACTCGAAGTATAGGATATTTTTGAAATAATTACATTAAATTAATTGTATAATATTGTTTATTGAAGAAACTACAAGTTTTTTTTTAAAACACAAATAATTTGGTTAATATTATGTTTTAAAGTGGAACAGTAATGTTTTTTTAACAAAAAAAATATAAGTCATCTCAGCTATCTTAAATTTAGGGAATTAAATTTAATATTAATACAGCTGTAGTAGCCTCAATGTTGACTTAGTTTTATGCAATTTTGCTAAATTGCTGTAGTTTACGACGTTCGTAACTAATGTTGACAAGACAGCTAACAGACAATGTTTTTATAATTCTTCATTTCTTCACAATAATTACAATAGTGTCTGTGTGTTTAACATTCTCTTAAATGTTTAAATGTTTATAAATTGATTTTATATTTTAATTTAATCAAAACTCATAGTCTATAGTCTATACTCTATAGTCGGTAACTATTTCAATGGTAATTGGTTAAATAAGACTAAAATAAGTAACTATAATGGGCCAGGCCCTGTATCGCAGTGGAACGTTATAACGTTAGTTAATTAATGTAATAGTATAAATTTATTTATTTTTAAACCTAAAATATATCACCAATGATTCAAAATAGAGATGTGTCGTTCGCGAACGAACGGATCTTATTGAACGGGTCAAAGTAGTGAACGATATGATCCAGATCGCCGAACCGAGGTGATCCGGATCACCTGATTTTTTTTTTCGTATTGGTTCTTGGTTCACACTGTCACTATCTCCCCGATTCCCGAATCATATACTCACGCGAACCGTGTGAACCGTTGATTGAACGAGACTGAACGAGACGCGAGTTTTTGTTTTTGATAACAAGGTTATAATAAATAATGATATATTTATTATTTAATATTTACACATTTTTGTTTTGCTCCTCTTTACATTGTATTAATGAAAATAATAAAATAATAATAATAAGTATTAAATAATATAACTATCAACTAATAACTATTAGTATACAATAAATATAATTATATAAATCACAACATGTTGTGGTTAAGAAATAATATTTGTGATATTTTTGATGTGGTGAGTCGAGATCTTCTTTCATTTACAACTTGTCCTGCTTTTGAAAATATTCTCTCACATGGTACTGATGTTGCCATAATACACAGTCTCCTTTTAGTTAATCTGTATAATCGTGGGTACACATTTTTTCGCTCAGCCCACCAAACCAAAGGATTTTCTGAACGGTTGATCAATGGTTCATTCAAATACTTTTCAACTTCAATTATACCTGCCACTGACGAGTTGGATCCTCCAATCAAATTTACAACAGTTTCATCAAACTCTTTCCACAGCATTGAACTTGAATTACTAGTAGAGGTAGATGTAGCAACTTGTTGATGTATTGGTTCGTCTGATTCTAATATAATACTTTGTGCTTTAGCCTTTAAAAAATTAACTGCATTCTTACAATGATTTTCATTAGAGAATGCAAATTTCTTGAACCTCGGATCCAATAATGTTGCTTGACTAATTAACGGGTTCTCTTCATATTTACCAAATCTTGCATACAACTCATCCTTCAAAACCTGACACATGGAATTAATTTCTTTTGGTAATGTATTGTTATTATTAAAATTAAAAACAAACTTATTTAATGTTTTAATAAAAATGATTTCTTTTGATATAGTTACATATTTTTTGGCACTTATTTCGACAGTCACTTCATAAAAGATTTTCAAAATGTCCCGGGCATTTTCCAATATAACCCAGTCTTGTGGGCTTAGACAGTTCAACTCTGAATTACCTAAAACTGCAAGAGTGGCAATAATCGGATCTTTAATTGCAATTATTCTATTGATCATGTCGTATGTCGAATTCCATCGAGTTGGGCAATCCTGTTTAAGTTTTAAAATAGGTGAACCAAGTTGTTTTTGATAGTCATTTAATTTTGCCAGGGCGTGCGAACTTTTTTTAAAATACTGTACTATGTTTTTTACCTTTGACAGAGTAGAATCTATACATTTCAAGCTAGATTGGACAATTAAATTTATAGAATGTGCAAAGCAAGATAGCCATCTCCAGTTACAGTTTCTAATTGCTGATTTAATATTAGCAGCATTATCAGTTACTACAGCAGTAAGTTTATATAATAAATTCCATTCCTCAACTAGGTTCCTTAAAAAACGAGACAAATTTTCACTTGTATGTTTTTCATTAAACTCGATACAGCCTAATAATACAGATGAAACAACTGTATCGTTTTTAGGGTCAATAAAATGTGCTGTTACGGATATAAAACTTTGGTTGGTCCTGGAAGTCCACCCATCTGTGGTCAAACACACAGCTTCCACATTTTTTAATCTATCCTTCACGCATTCAAGAGTCATATCAAACATCTGAGGTAACAAACTTTGGGTTACGGTTTTTCTTGATGGAATAATGTAAGTTGGACATAACATTTTAATTAATTTACGAAATTCTTCATCCTCCACCACACTAAACGGATGGTATTCCTTCACAATCATTTTGATTAACTGTTGATCGATCATTTTTGATTTGCTCATAGGTATCGGCTTATGGATGAAGTTTGCAATAGAGCTTTGCTGTTTGTTATGTGGTCTTAAAAATGCTGCTGATGTTGTTGCTACTGAAGTAGATTGTTGTCTAATCGGATTTTGGTCCATAGATGTTGAGGGTTCTGGATCATCAATAATCTCAGAATTTGATTCATTTACCTATAATTTAGAAGTATTACTATCATTGATCGCACTATAATATCATATTTTGAAATATTGATCTATGGAATAAAGTATAAACCATAATAATAATAATAATACATATTATTGCTAATCTGATTTTATAGTATAAAAAGATTCTGTATGATTTGCTATTTTGATTTCTATTCAAATAATAAGACACAAGTATAAAATATAAAAGTAGATGTATTCATGACCATTTAAAATTATTATTTAAATAGTGTTCAACTACAAATAAGAAAAAAAGTATTTGAATACTAATATTAAAATACTTTTATTTAAAAAAAATACTTTACACATGTGATCAAGTATAGATTTATATTGGTCAAACTGATTTTAAGCTTAATTTAATTAATATTTTACCTGAACATTTCTCTGTAGTGGAACTGTTGGATGCTTCGTTTTTAAATGTCTCAACAAATTTCCAGTTGATCCTCCACTAAAACTTATTTTGTATGAACAAACATTACATTTCGCAATGTTATTTTGTAAAATGGTGTAATGGTACCATACATTACTACGTTTCTTATTTAATGCTGTATTATCAGTGTTTGACGAAGACATAGTTATACTACTAAGCACCTAATAATTGAACCGAAATAAAAATTTTGATACTTTTTGATATTTAATAAATAAGAACTTACTTTTGGAATCCCAATATAAAAACAACAGTCGAGTATAAAATAATATTTATATTTATTTATAATTTAAATTCTTTAACTTTTTCTAATAGAACTAAATAATAAATCACTATACTAATTAATCACTGCATCAATCTCTCATATAAATGAGTCTCAAAAATTGTGCAATTCGATTATGTGACTCAAGACAGTAGACACTGAGTTGAAAACAACAGCATAATGTAATGAAAAGAATGATGAAAAATGAATTGTTTAAGTATAAATGACACATTTAAACGTGTCATTACATGTTTATTAGATGTATGTGGATTGTGAATGGTCATCATGAACATGTTGTGACAGGAATATTCCAATTTTAAACTTTTTGTTTCACACACAAATATCTACTTTGTTTTTGTAATTTTATGGATTAATCACTTATTGAGTAAAGAATGCTGCATTATTACTTATTAATTATTATGTTCATATTTTTGATTTAGTAAATTAAGTTTTGTCTTTAAAATAGTTGATATTTATTGTATAAATATTAAATGATGTATAACATGATTTTATGCTTGGTATTCTTTTGTTTAAACTTACCTTGGCCATTTTTGTATATCAAATAAAAATAAAATGTGTATCAAATATCATTTGAAAGATCAATATTTTGTAAAAAGTTCCCCTGGAATCTAACTTCTCACTTTCCTTGACAAAAGAAGTGACAGCTTTTTTGTAGATCATATTTAATATACAAAATAATTTCAACACAAATGTATAATATTATAAATATATTAAATTATACTCAAAACATGAATCATATTATTTTCATTTTTTTATAACACAAAAATTAACATATCTAGCACGTTTTCCATGAATACATCAAATAAAAAGACAGAATATTCAATTGATAGTCATTATTTATTGAAAAAACTAAAATATTCTTACTAAATTGAAATTTTTAAAATACATTGGCTACAACAGAATTCCTGTTTTAATACATAATTAAATTATTTAAATAATCATTATTCATTTAAATGATTTGTTTATAATATTCAAAAGCATTGTTACTCATAAACTTAATAAATCAAAGTTTAATAAAACGATTATTAATATGTACAAATAATATTTTAAAATTATAATCATAATTATATAGGTATTGAATTTGTTAACAAACAGGTGACAATTACTATAACAAGTATATACAAAATGTACACCTTCTTTAAGCAACTGCTTGTATTGAAGTTGTTACGTTCTTCTTTATCTCTTGGAAGATTTATAAAATCTAACTTGTTGACACAAGTAACTAGGCGTTCAGCAACTTTTCTTAGGAAGGGGTATTAGCAGGTACAGAGATTCGTAAAAAAAATCAATTCGTTAAAAGATATAATGAAATATGCATTTTTATTTTTTAATTATCGATAATCTATAATAGGAATAAAATATAAATGATACCTAATATATTCGAATAGTTATTGAATAGTAAATCGATTATTCAGTCATGTATTAAATTATTCGATAGTTTTGATAATTCAGTCATGTATTATAATATTTAAATAATTATTCGATAGTTTATAAAGTTTATGATGTGTTCAATCGAATAATAATCGATAAATGACCATTGACCAATGAAGTAATGAACTAAATATATTCAGTTCAATGGTTTTGATTTAGTATGGGCTCAAAAAAACCATTCACACTGTGAACCGTTGATTGAAACTCGAGTCGCGAACGATGCGAACTGTTTGGGAACAATGGGAACCACGACAATTGAACTGAATATTCAGTTCAATGGATCTGATTCAGTATAGGCTCAAAAAAACCTATCAGATCGCGAACGGGTCTTTTATCCGGATCTTCTTGCTGACCTGATCTGAATGAATCGGATCACTTAGATGATCCATAATTCCCATCTCTAATTCAAAATCGATTCATCTGCCATTTGATTATCATTATGCATGATAAGTGAAAACTGAATGAATTAATTCAACCCAGTTTATTGTATTGGTGAATCAAATGAACAATTCTTTGAACGAATAAATTTACTGAATCAATTCAAATGATTCGAATCAGTATAGTGATTCATTTTTCCCATCCCTAGTTCCAACCTTCCTACGTTTGTACTTTGTTTTTTCTGGTCCTAGTCGATGGGTGTAGTTTTTTTTTCTGCGTAGTGCGTTGAAGGGGTTATGCGAGGGTGCGGGCGCGCGGCATTACGACAGCTGGTTTAGGAGAGCCGTTGCTTCCACGGCGATTTACTTGTGGGCGCTGGTGCCCTGTTGGAGAGTGGTAAAAAAAGCTGTTTGTGTGTACGTCAACGTCGCACTTCCGCGGTGGCTTGTTGTGGACGCTGGTGCAATGTAGTAAGCCGTGAGAACGGGTGTTCTGAGTTGCTCGCTTTGCGTGTGAACCGTGGACGCTGTTGCCCTGTTGAAGGAACTGTTAGTAAATGCTGGCTTCAGTGCTGGTTGGAAGTAGACACTAGACGTCTTGACGGTTTGACTATTGGCTGGATTGTTGAATGGACTGATGCTGATGCTGATGACTGATGGCAATTGTGTGTAAAAATGTGTAGTTTTATACAGTGCACCGTACCGACTAGTAAACCAGTGTGATTCGCGTCGTCCTCCGGGCTACGGTTGTACAATGGTTTTTCAAAATATCTCAACGGGAAATGGTGGTAAAAATGTGGCTTTGAACTTTTTGGCGAGCTAACAAAATTCTAAACGATCGCCAATGACTATTGCATCGGCACCCGGTGCCACGAAACCACCACGAGTCGTTATTTCCACACTTCCGACCGGGTTTTCGTAAACCGTATTTGAAGGTCCGTCGTACGACTGCAACCGGTCGAAAATTGACGAAAATATTTTGGATGAATTCTCCACGAGTTTCCCGAGACCGTGGCGTTTGCAGATTTCCAATCGACCGATTTTCCGATGAACAGTGGCTGTTCGAATATGACGGTTTTAGGACTGTGCCGCGGCGCGGTGTCACCGGCGGCGTGTTTCTACCTGAAATTTTAACGAGACAGACTTTATCAATAAATCTCGTCTCAATCGTACTTTACCGAATAAATGATTATAATGACACATTTGCTAAAGGACTTTGGTCGAAACTCAATGCAAATTTGTAACGATTTATGTTCATTTGTATGCACTTTTTGTCAACCACACCGATGGACCGGATGACGTGATAAGACTTTTGGAAAACTGATTTGAGTACGATTTTCTCGTTCCTAAACTCCTATCAATTTTGATTAAATGTCTAATATTTTCCTAAATTTTAAATTTAAATAAAATAAACGAATAATCTTAAAATGTGTGCTGATCGAACTCAAGACAAGTAGTCATATTAACGAGACTACTGCAAATAAGTGTCCAGAAGTCTCATCGCGTTATCTGGATTGACGAAAAGTAAAATAAAAAAAAAAATGAACATAAATTGTTTACAGTTCACCTGCGCAACGTCGTGGCCTGCACGTACACGCATTCGTTGTCTCCGTCTGACAAGTGATTAAGTACATGAAAAAAATTCTCGCTATTCCGCAACACTACCCGCCATGCACTCAATTAATATTTTATTCGAAGTTTAATTGTAATAATAATTGTAATATTAAATGTATATAATAGTGAAAATCGAAAAAAAAAACATTCTAAAGATGAATCATTAAACAAAAACCTATTAATGGTAGGTTCACGAAACGAATGACGTAGTGATGTAGTAATTCACCACTGAAATTCACAAAAACAATAAACTCATCAGTCATCACCAAACCAGGCAGCAATTTATTCGACAATAACATCATTAGCAGAAAAAAGTAATGATTAACCTAAAAGTCCCGCAGTAATATGATAACAAGATTATGTTATCAACGAGATATAGTGTTATTTTCATGTTTTGACCAGAGATTTTAAATAACCTAGATAACCAACTATCAATATCGCCTATCACATAATCTGAATCCAGCTGTTCTAAACGTCCGCCATTTGTAAAGAGGTCAAGTTATGCCGCTGGATATAGTAAAACATATTATAGGAGCTGAATTTTTTTTTATTATTTAGATTAAAAATGTCCTTAATTATTTTCTACACAGATTAGGTATAAATGTATAGTTCATATACAATATCGTACTACACATAGTAAATTATAAATTAATAACTATACAAATTATAAATTTGTAACCTTCATGTTTAGGTTTAAAAACAAGTTTATTGAATTTATGTCTTTTACTAGTGCAATTTATAGCCAAAGAAAGATTTTTTGCAAATGCACGAAATCTTATTTTTAAGTACATGCTAACAACTAATTTGATTAGTTCTAATCTATGTGGGCTTGCCAACATATTTTCATCTTCACAATCTAATTCACCAAGTATTTGAGAATTCTGAGAAAAATAGTTTTTCACTAATATTATGATTTTTGTTGATACTTTTGTATATTATTCATATTGCCTAAGTTATCGGTTAAAATAAAAATTCTGTTTGTTTTTTTAATAAGCTTTTCTTGCAGGAAGTACAGAAGACTTTTGGTGAAATTGTTCTTACAACAAAGCCTGCTATATAATATAATATGTTTAAATTTTGATCATATAAATTAGAGCTATCATTGTTCATAATTGATGTTTTATTTAATAACATCTCATCATAATTGTTTTCTATACTCTCAATGCCGTGATCAATTACACCTGACTCAGTAAGGTGTATCTTTTTCTGTGCCCATTTAATCTCAAAAATGTTTCCAACAGGATCGTCATCGAGAGCAATACTATTCTATTCGCGCTTGGCGAACGGGTAATGCAATTTTTTATATAAAAAACAGTCTCTAACTGAAGGTAATCATTACACGATATCGACAAATTTACATTTTTTCAAATGGCGGCATCATCAGTAGGCTGGTATGTTGCTGCTTCAATGATAACGGCTAGTTACTTATCTAGGATATTTA